GTCACAAGTGTGTGATCCTTTTATTCCTATTTTGTATATTTTATTCTTTGGATCTTGCAATAATATCTTCCAATCTAATAAATAATTAGAAAACTTAGTACTTGATATTTGAAATAATAGAAATACACAGAAGGTTCATTATTGGTGATTCAGTTCCTAAATTTAGTTCAGAAGCCATTTTTGCTTCAGTGAAGACATCGATTAGTTTGCAGGGGTAGTCACATGGTTCCTGGAGCTAATGCTCACATTATAGTAACACGTCCATTTGTTATACCCTGGGGGGTCTGTTAATCTCCACAGCATTTGTTAATTTATCGAGTAAAGAATTTTCAGTTTGTGAATTCAGCAGGATTATTGCCAGATCTGACATACTATTATTGATGACCCTGAACAGTTTACTGTATCCTATCTGATGACCAGTGGTTGCTCCTGTGAAAGCGTGTAAAAGTTGCATTCTGAGAAATAGCACCTTTTGCCCGTGATGAGTTTTAATGCTTGAAGGAATGTAAGGTAACCCAAAGATGTCCTTTTTAGAGCAAAGACACTTTTTTTCTTCTTTCTTTTTTCTTTTTTTTTTTTAAAGTTGTCATGGTTTAAACCCATCCAGCAGCTCAGCACCACACAGCTGCTTGCTCACTCCCCTCTGGTGGGATGGGGAAGAAAATTAGAAAATGAAAAGAAAGAAAACTCATGGGTTAACATAAAGACAGTTTAACAGGTAAAGCAAAAACCACACATGCAAGCAAAGCAAAACACGGAATTCATTCACTACTTCCTATCAGCAGGCAGGTGCTCAGCCATCTCCAGGAAAGCAGGGCTCCATCACACGTAATGGTTACTTGGGAAGTAAAATGCCATCCCTCCAAACATCTCCCTCCTTCTTCCTCCAGCTCTACAAACTGAGCATGACACCATATAGTATGGAATATCCCTTTGGTCAGTTGGGGTCAGCTGTCCCATCTGTGTCCTCTCTCAACTTCTTGTGCTCTCCCAACCTCCTCACTGGTGGGGTGGTGTGAGGAGCAAAAAATGGCCTTAACTCTGTGTAAGCACTGCTCAGCAATAATGAAAACATCTGTGAGTTATCAACACTGTTTCCAGCACAAATTCAAAACATAACCCCATACCAGATATTAAGAAGAAAATTAACTCTACTCCAGCCAAAACCAGCTCACAATGTACCTTATAACCCAGGTATATATGGTGTTGTTGCTGTTTTGGCGCAAGCCTTGTGCTGGCATAGCAACATAAAGGCATGTCAGGCCTTGTCGCGTCTTGGCATCAGCTAGCTTTAGTTCAGCTTCAGCTGTAACAGCATGTTGCCCAGTGGTTACATGCCTCTTGTCTAGCTTTTCCTGCATGTAACAGCAAAGTTGTTTAATGCTTGAATGATTAACCTCTGACTTTTTCTTAGTTTCAGCTTAGTATTGTGTTATTTTGCAGATATCCTACAAACCCTATGTTCAGTAAAGATCAATAATCATTGCATAACTTAAGTTATGCAGATGGATTAACATCAAACTTCATGGAAGTGTTTGAAAATGTTGCTAAGTGAAAGTCAAAGAGCAGCTCTACATACAAACACACATAACATTGTAAGCATACTCCTCCTGGTGAAGATGGCTCCCCCAACACCTGATGGGGGAAGAACAGCTCTCATCTTTAGCCTATGTCTGTTTTGTGTGTATGGGACCAACAGCAGAGAAGATGGGCAGATGCTTTTCTTTAAAAGAAGTTGCGTTTCAAGTATAAAGAACTATAAAACTTATTATTGCAATCATTTTCAAATTAATAGACAAGATTAAATGTTTGGACAAATATGGACTATTCAATTAAGTAAAGGTCTCAGTTTTACGCCTATAATGGCATTTCAGCTTGCAAGAAATGTATATTAGCTTTGTCCTGGGTTTAGCAGTAGCAGTCTTTTTTTTTTCTCCTTAGTAGCTGGTGCAGTGCTGTGTTTTCGACCTTCGGCCTGGGAACAATGCTGATAAGACTGATGTTTTTAGTTACCGCTCGAATGTTTAGGCTGGCCATAGGATTTTGTGAGTCTCATGCTCTGTCAGGGAAGAGGGGAAGCCAGGAGGAAGCAGAGACAGGACACCTGACCCAAACTAGCCAAAGAGGTATTCCATACCACAGCACGTCATGCCCGGGGAGGTAACTGAGAGTTACCCGGAAGGGCTCTCTCTTCTCAGTTGGGCTTGTTTCTGTGGGTGGTATCATATTGTCTTCCCTTGTTATTTCTCTTATCATTATTATTACTGGTGGTAGCAGTAGTGATTTGTGTTATACCTCAGTTACTGGACTGTTCTTATCTCAACCCATGGGAGTTATGTTCTTTCGAGTCTCCTCCCCATCCCTCCGGGAGCAGGATGGGTGGAAGGAAAGAAAGAGGGGGGGGGTGGGGGGGGTGGGGGGGGAGTAGAAGCTGTGTGGCTGACTGGTTTTAAGCCATGACAAGCTTAGATAGTTCAATCCTTCACCAATAAAATAAATGAATCTTCTAGATAATTTCTACTTAAATACTTTGAGAAATATTAAATATTCTGGTTTTCAATATTAATAATTAACTAGCTTAAAAATAGGTCTGATTTACTTGTGTTAAATTCCTAAAATAGGAAATGGTTCATAAAAACACCTGTAAAAATAAGTAACAATTGAGTTCATAATAATAAAGTCTATGATATGCTGGGTAGCTTCAAAATTCCTTTTTGAATTTGCTAGGAACACAAATTATTAATTATTATTTACATTTATTAAAATAATAATCTAGTTCTTATATATTTTCTGTGTTCAAATGCATTTTTATATATTTATATAAATGTATTCATGCATACATCTATATCTAAGAAAGACTATGAGTAAGATTTCTGAAAATTATTCTTTGCAAATACTTAAGGGATTGTTTGCTGAAGCTAGAAGGAAGCTAACTAAACTGACATGTTTAAAGAATAACATGGCATTATACTGGCAAATTAAAAATATCATGTATAACTGTGCAACTGATGGTTACACAAAACTTAAAAAATTACAGCTAAATGGTAACATAATTAGTGTATTATTCCTTCAGGATGCCAACAGTTTAGACTGGAACCTGTTTAACATATGATATCTACTGACTAACTAGAAAAGATCTGATATAATTTCTTTCAACTCAGAAATAGACAACGAATCTAAATCTGCCTTGAGATTATTTACATGTACTATACAATTATAGTTTAATTGCCTAAGGCATTTGTGATGATATAAGATTTAAATATTGTATAACTGCAATGATTTAATGAACTGGAAACGAAAAACCTGAAGATTCACTCAGTCTTTCCTTCAGCAGTCAGAATTGTCTGAGGTAGGAAATAACCTAATTGAATCAGAGGTTATTATTTTGTACATTTGCAAACAATGAGAACCAGCCTTTCTAATCTTTTTGTACTGTTTAAGAGGTGTCAAAATCCAAAGCTTATGGTAAATTTCAATTTCTAAAGGTAAATATCTTTTGTTATAAGAAATCTGCAGGAATAGGCATGCCAGCTTACTTGCTATTGTACCCTTCTTTCCTGGCATAGCAACCTGTCAAGAATAGGCAAAAAAAAAAAAAAGACCAAACCAAAAAAATGTTGCAATCCGGTCTTGTGAGGAATCCAAAGAAATTGTGCACCTTTAAACTGCCCTTTAAAGTCTTTGAAAATCAGCGACCTCCTCAAGAATTGCAAAGTTGGAACTGACCTGGTTTTGCTCCTTCGAATCCTGCCCATTAATGTTTATGTATATATAAGAGAAACTGTGATTAATTACCAAGTGTTTAAGGCCAAATGAGGTCAGTTTTTCTAGTCCTCTGAGCTGTGAAATTAAGTGCTCCTAAAAGCTGTAGGTAGACAAAAATATCTCAATCGTCAGGATACTAAATTCTGTGGCTACAGAGAGAAAAGAGCAAAATCCAAGTCCTGCCAGTAATCTAAGATCACTGGAGCATTAGGAAATTAGTTTTTGAGATAAATTCAAGTGGTCTTATTTTGGAGGTCCTTACCATAAGCTCCAAACTGAATAAAAAATCTGTCCCCACTGTTGTAAAGAAGGAAAAGAATCTTCTGAAAATTGTATGAATATGTTGATACTGTTATAAGAAAATTATCTAAGAAAGATTTAAGGTGATTTTATATTTTGCATCAAACCTTGCTCTGATCAATATAGTATTCTTTGTCTATTCACAAAAGTTTGGAGAAAGAGAAAGAGAAGAACAGGAAATGAGAAAGAAAACATTCAGTCACCCTTTTTCCATGGTAAGAACAAAACCAAAATCATTCTTGAAAACTTTAGGAAAGCTGATTAATGCTCACACACGCTAAATTCAGTAGAAGGTAATGTAGTTTAGTACTTTCTCCATGCTGAGAACAATGTAAGCAATTTCCCCTTTTACCTTGACATCCAAAAGGAAAGTATTAGGATGGGCTCTTTCTGTGTGCGACCTTGAATTCACAGCTTGAGAAGATTATTACATAGAGTATAGTCTTATCCATTTGTTTGTTTGTTTGTTTGTCTTTTTGTTGGTTTGTTTGTTTTATTTGAATCTTGAAAATAGTGTATCTGTAAAGTATGACACCACATGTTATGAAGTGTGAGCTCCGTTCACATCTTATTTCTAGGGTGCACTAAACTGAGTATAACAACCAAATCCTGCATTTTACATTATCTTTGTAACTTTGGAAATTATTGCTTTATTGGGTAGCTTTGTAAGTATCCATACAGTAAGTTATGGAAGTATAACGTTTCAAACTCCAATTAGATAAGCTGAACAACTTGAAATGTATAAATGCTTATTTTTCTTCCCTTTTAATTGCTTTGTGTTATCCCTCTGAGGCTTTTTCAATGAACACATATATTTTTGAAATGTGGTCCTTGAGCCTGGAACAATATTTTCATAGTAATCCTCTTGACACTACTTGTAGAGGCAGGATAGCTTTCCTATTTCTAATGGATATTCCCCCTTTCATTTACACAAGAAATGTACCAGGCCTATTTAGTGGAACACTGGACACAAAGGTCATGTAGCAATGATTATTCAGGATGATCTCCTAACTCTTTTCTGAATCACTGCTTTACCATCTGGTAGATGGGCAAGATATATGTCCTTGTTTTGAACTGCAGTTATTTTTGATTAATAATTATTAAGATATGCTGAATATTTTGAATGTTTTTAAATTCTTGTAGAAACACACTGTATATATGCTACAGGTTACTCTAAAGGACAATGCATTATAAAACATACCCAATATGCTAAATATTTAAACTTCATACATTCTACATACTTCCCTTTTTAACAAGTTAGTGCAATTCTGTTTTTATTTATTTTTGAATGTGTTCTGCATCAAATGGCAGCAACTCAGTTGCCACTGGGCAATTAATTAATTGCTTTAAAGGAATTTGACTATGAATATTGGAGGTAACCCTTTTATGCTAATGCAGTTAAACAAATTAAACACAATCAAATGAAAATAACATTATCTTAGGGTTAAATAATATGAGCTTTCACTTGCATTTTCAGCAACCGGATTTTCTAGTTTCCTTTAATGTTATCCCAGATCCCTGTAGGCATAATCGGAATGTCAGTTTATATAGAAGCTTACTTATTTTTCAAATTAATAATAAGGTAGAAATGGCTCTAACTTACAGCTTTTTGGTCTGAATCTCAAACATAAATTTTAAGATTGACAGATTTTTTAATTTGGTCTGTCATTAAGACAGACAGTGAGAAGCTGAATATGAAATTCAAGTCTGGATCTGGGAGACAGGTTACCTACCCAAGACTTGGGAGTGTTCTTCAATGGAAATTGGAAGTCAGAGTTGATATAGATCTGTCTTTTTTTTTTCATATAATCACTGGACATCACAATAACCCTGGGTGTCTTGAAAGCAATATAACTATAGATCACTTACTGACTTTAAACATGCTGGCTGTTTTCAGGAAAAGCAAAACTATGTGCTTTTCATCTTCTCTTTCTTGATATTTTACTTCTTTGAAGGAAAACTGTAAATAATGCATGATAACTGTGTCTTACTGCTGTCCTTGAGTAATCTTAATCCACATAACCTTGGGTGGACTAGATTCTTTGTAGTCCCATGTCGCATGGGGACTCCCTAATTTCTAATGTGTGGAGAATTATACATTTTTAAAATTGCATGAATTTTAGCCTTATTAATGTTCTTGGTACTTCTGGATTCACAGGGATGTTTTAATACTACTTCTGAAGTTTAGTAGTGAATGTCATGAAATGAAAAATAAAAAAAAAGAAAAAACCCTCATCTTTCTGAAATACTGAAAATTTAATTTTCAGATGATATCTAGGAAAAGTTAAATAACACCCAACTCCTATTGTGTCTTCGGAATTTTTTTTTTTTTAAAGAGTCAGAAATTAAACATTTTTTATGTTTATCTGAAACGTAATAATGCTACTAAACCTGAAAAGAAGAAAGGTGTTTCTGTTAGAACATAACAGACTGAATTACAAAGTAGGACAATGGGGAATAAGTAGCTTTTTGAGTTTAGGGAATAACTGATGGTCTTCTTATGTAAAGCAATTTTTTAATTACAAGTGCAGAAGTTTTCCCCTCCTTTCAGCACCTTATGTAAATCTAAAACCCCGATAAATATTTCATCTTGCATTAAAAAGTATTGTTTCAGGTAAACTATGTTACTGCCACCAGTTTGAAATATTCCCGATCTTGTAACTGCCTTTGACCTTTTCTGTTCTTTTCTACTTTTTATAGCCATTTTACAACCTTCAATTCTTCAGTGGCCTCCCAGTTATGTCTTGAGATTGCTACAAGGCATGAAAGGTTTTTCTGAGCTTTGTTGACTAGGTGGCAATGAACATTCTTCAAACTGAAGACGATGGTAAAACAAGCATGACTGCCTGTGATTACAGTGATTGCACTTGACCAGGCTTTTCTAGCCCTAAGCTCATGTGAAGTGCAGAAGAGTTTCTATGTTAAATAGAAAAAAAAATATAAAAAAACCCTCTGGAGTTATTCCTTTCAATGTTCTGTTTGTCTAGATGCAAGCAATACATTTAAGTATTGGTTCCTTTCTTTTTCATATATTATTCTTTACAATCAGCCTGAAAAAATGTTTTCTTAAATACTGTCTTTCTAACTTTTCACATCAGTGGTCCCATCACTTCAGCCACATAGAAAATCTGATGAAAATAGTAAAAAAAAAACAGAATTACATCCTGTCAGGCTCCATTCTCAAATATCAAGCTAAATATTTGACATTTGTATATTTATTGGCAGATCATCTTGATGGTTAAGGTTGTCCATACTGGCTTCATGCCATTTACTATAAAAGCCACCAAAATACACTTTATATGGGGACAGATTCCAACTAATACAGGGAGAGGGAATAAACACAGAAACAGTATGAAAATTCACACATTGGATAATATAAATGACAAGTAAGCACTATATTTGTGCACCTGTTGTTCAAATTATGTATAAGAGGGGAAATAAAAGTAATGTCTCCACCTAATTTTAAAAGCACTTTCAAATATTTGTTTCAGATTTTTCCCAAAGCTCCCCAGAAGCTTCCTTCTCTCTTCTGCAACTGTTTCTTTGAACTCTCTGATACTTCCTAGCACACCAGCTATTTCAGTGGAAAACCTTGTCACATGCTATTTTTCAATTTAGTTTCTGTTGTTAGACAATAAAGAAATACAGTGAGTGGCGCAATGTGGAATTCTGTTTTCCTCTTTTTCCTTTCCCTTGATATAAAGATATGAGCAAATATGTCGACAAAAACAAAAAAGAAGAAAAGATGTTTCTGTGGAAATGGAAGAATGTACCATTAATTTTTTTTTTCTTCATTTAAATAACTTCAGTGGGACACAGGAATGATTTTGCTAATCTCAGCAACTGAAATTACTTGTCACACTTCAGTACATGTCCTTTATCTTGAAGATTTGCTCTTATAAAATATCACATAGACAGTGATAAATAAATTTCATAAGAAAAAAAAGTGTGCTTTTTATTATGACCAATAAACTATTTAGGACTATGCATTGTGATTTTGCACAGACATATCAGGTGAAAAGTTCATCATATTTTAATCTTCTTTTTCTTTATTTCTCCCTGCCCTTCCTTTTTTTTCCTTTCCAAGGCATCCATTAAAACAGCAAATCTATCACAGAAACAAAGCTGTGATTGAAATTCTGCTAAATCATTCAGTGAGAGTTTTGTCTAAGTGACTCCTCCCACACCTTGCTAAACCTTGCTAAAAATTCCAATGAGTTGTTATATGGTGAATATGCAGGGATAGTAATGTGGTTAGAATTAAATTTATACTTTCATATTTTCCTCAAGAGGCACATTTTAACTGTTATATATTTATTTCTGCAGTGTCATCTTTTTTTGTGTATCAAGTAGTCATCCTTTTGGACTTATCTTTTAGATTAAATCATATGTCTTCAGTCGTACTAGCTGGTTAATTATCTACACCTTATGATTTTAAGTATCTTGACAGCTAAAAATAATTGCTTACGTATCATAAATTTATCACTCCTTTTCAGCAATATAAGTGCATTTCAATTAGCTTCCTATGGAAGTGCTGAATTGAGAATTCTTTTCAATTAAAAGCAATGTTTGTCATTTCTGCTCATTCTGCAGTGATAATTTCATTGATTTGACTTAATACACATTGTCCTGGGTTCAGCAGTAGCAGTCATGTTTTTTCCTTTGTGGTACCTGGTGCAGTGCTGTGTTTTGACTTCCAGCCTGAGAACAGTGTCGGTGAAGCCAATGTTTTCAGTTGTTGCTAAGTGATGTTTACCCTGACCAAGGACTTTGTGAGGCTCATGCTCTGCCAGGGAGGAGGGGAAGCTGTGAGGAAGCAAAGATGGGGCGCCTGACCCGGGCTAGCCAGGGAGGTATTCCATACCACAGCACGTCATGCCCGGGGTGGGGGATAACTGGGAGTTACCCGAAAGGACACGGGCTTCCAGGTGGAACTCGCTTTCTTGGCCGGGGGTATCGTATTCTCTTCCCTTGTTATTTTCCCTTATCATTGTTGCAGTTGATAGTAGCGGTGGTGATTTGTGTTGTACATTGGTTGCTGGACTGTTCTTGTCTCAACCCGTAGGAGTTGCACTCTTTCGATCCTCCTCCCCGTTCCTCCGGGAGAGGGGAAGGGGAGAGCCCCGGTGGGGTGGGGTGGGGGGGACGGACCTCAATTGTTTTCAGCTCGGCACCACTCACTGGGAGTGAGTGAACAAGTTACCTGACTGAGTTTAAACCACGACACACATGTAAGCCCAAGTGTATATACATATAAAATGCCACAGGGCTTAGAGGCCCTAATATAAACAGTTAGGTCACTGTTTTTATCTTCTGCTATCACTGGGCTTCCACATAACAAGATATGTGGGTTGAGGGATATGTGGATTTGAGGTGACGGAACACTGGAACAGGCTGCCCAGGGAGGTTGTGGAGTCTCCTTCCCTGGAGACATTCAAAACCCGCCTGGACACATTCCTGTGTAACATTATCTCGGTGTTCCTGCTCCGGCAGGGGGATTGGACTAGATGATCTTTCGAGGTCCCTTCCAATCTCTAGCATACTGTGATACTGTGACATTTTAGCAACTTTATAGTTCAGTATGTGTTGTTCGAGGGAGAAGGCTATATTTCCTCTGTGGTTAAACACTGGAAAAAGTTTTTGGATTGTGTCCATGCACTAAGCACTGTTGCGCAGCTGTTGATACTGCACATCCTAGGGTAACCAACAGCAGCATGTCATTGACATGGTGGATGGCTTCCATTTAATTCTCCTCATTTGGATTTTGTTAGAATGGTTTTGAAAATGTGAGAGTGGTTTAGTTCTAAGAGCATTAGTGCCTGGATTTCTAGCCACAGAACTGATATTAACTCTAATGGGAATTGTAAATCCTTTGCATTTTGTTACAAATACTCTTTAGTGATTTCCAGTGGCTGCTACTCATGTTTAATATACATTCACTCTGTTTACTTTCAGATTAGTGCAGTTTGGGGTCTGACATTGATATACAGACAGTGAACACACTCTACTTCATCAGAGTTTTGTGATGAATGCCAGCCCTGCACACAGAGCATGCTCAACTGAGTCAGAAGGACGGAGCTGTTCACCACACCCCTTCTCTGACATCTGACAGAGAGACTTTGACAGATTTTGGAGAAGTGCAGATCACTTGACTGGTGCCATAAAGAAATCATGGGGTCACGAAGGGGAAGCAAAGGCTTGGGCTGAAAACATGAAAGAGGGATACTAAATACCTAGCACTATGCTAATAGGAACAGTGTCTACAGAAATGTTTCTACTGATTATATTCAGCTGACATCTGGATTCTGTTTTTAGGACAAATATGTGTCTTTTGTATGACCTTGGAAAAGACAACTTGGATAAAATTGTTACTGTATTGAAGGTTACTGTAAAACATCCTTTCATTTCAATGCACTATGTTGTGAACATGGAGTGCTGCAGCATGCCTTGGTTACCTCATATGCAGTTTAGATACAATTCTAGTGGGCAAGACAGTATGTCACTAATGCAGTATTATAAATGTTGACAAGTAAAATAACTTCAGCTGGTAAGCAGTTCAGAGTGACTGTAATGCTTAGTTTCTTTCATAATAGCTGACATTTCTCCAATACTCTCATATCAATAGCCCCTCTATGAATCCATTATTACTACATTAAAATAATTGTCCATAATCAACCCATTTTGGCATGTGGAATCATGAAATATGTATGTAAAATACAGACTAGTTAAAAGCCATTTTGTACCTGTAAAGTTTCCTAAGTGGCACTTCCATAGTAGAGTTCGCCATGTTGTTGCAATCAGAAATTGTTATCTCTACAACTCCAGGGAGAGAGAGAGCAGGCTGAGAAAGCACGTGGAACTTCATGGCAAAAACCCCACTGACTTGCCAAACTGCACAAAGTTATTAACAGAGAGTGGAGAGAACAACAAAATTGGATGGAAGATTTAAAGTGATGGATAACATTAAACAAATGGGCGAGCTTGATGGCGTCAGCGAAAACACTGGCTATGCCTTTAAAGTAACTATGAAATAAAGGGGTAGCTGCTTCACAGCATCCCAATGGAGGGCTGCAGTGGTATATCCCTGAAGTCATGACTTCTGGTTTCCTTGTATCTTATGCCAGTTGAGGGAGTCCACAAAAGAACTTGTTCCTTGGAGTATTAGCATAGGTAGATATAGGTAAGTTGCAATGTTGAATACTGCCTTTTGGAACTGTAAAAATGATACATTTTATTTACTTTATTTGGAAAGAAGTCAAAGGAGGAAATATAGTACTGTCTATCAGATTTCCCTACTGAAAGCAGCCCTGTAGTCTGCTTGTCTGCTTTTCTGCATAAAGCTCATAACATCCTTTCTTTCTGCTTTGAAAAGTTCATTCATTTGGTGAAAACCCAGTGGAGAAAGCAAGCTTTTATACAGTCGGAACTACTCAGCCAGACCGTGATTTCTATCAGATACAACAGTGTTAGCTCAAGAATAAAAAAGCACAATTTCCCAATTTGAGCAGGATGTTCATAGAAATATATGAAGACACAACCATCAATCAAAATTTTGAATCCCTATAAATTAAACCATGAGATAATTTGTATCTCAATGTTAAACCAGAGATGGGGATTTGATTCCATTTTTCTTTCCAAAACATCATTTTTGACAGCAGCAGTACGTCTAGCTTTTTCTGTTTCTCTGAAGAATACTGTTTTTTCCAAAGAGCACACCCTGAAGAAAAAATAATAAAAAATTAAATCACCCAACTAAACAATCCTTCTTCTTCCTTATACATGAAATTTGTTTTTTAAGATGATACATAGTAATAATGAATCAGCATTTTATTTTTTTCAGCTGTTCCCATAAATGCCTACATAACATGTTCTCATAAAAATAGTAGCATGCAAGAAGCAAGCAGCAAATTTTAAACAAAAGAATGGAAGTATTATCCTACCCCTTGGACAGAATAGCTGTGCACAATTTCTTTGGAAGGTCAAATGCTGGACTGCCTATATCGTGCTAGTTATTCAGATGTGCATCTAAACAAGTAGGAATAATCAAATTTCATAATGTAACAGGTAGACTGCATATTACTGGGAAATAACTTTATATTTTATTTTGCTATAGTAGGTTCCAAATGAAATCAGCACAGGCAAACAATATGAAATTTGGTTTATTTTCTCAGTAAACCTGTTTTCAGCTTTATTTGTTGGCTATGAACAGCTTGGTCAGTCTTAATATTTGTTTAAAATTACTAGCTACACATTATTACCTCTACATGTATCGAAGATCTTTTGATTTAATTAAAAGATTATGTATTTCTTCCAGTCTCTCAGCAATCCTCTGCTTGGACATCAAATTGGAGATTCAATGAGGGTGTGTTCTCTGCTACACTGGCTGAATTTTACCGAGTTGGTGAACTAGTGAACTAAAGGCACTTAGGGAAGCATTGATACTTGCTGAACTGCTGTGAGTTGACATCAGTTAGTGCAGACACACAGGAGTGTATGCTCTTTGCTTCTCCCATGTGGAGAAGAACTTACCATCCACTGCAAGGGAATGGCAGATATAAAATACACCTGCAGTTCCAAAAGCAGGCTAAATTATGGTTAAATCTTCAGGGATTTTTGTAGACAATGGTGGGGGTTTTTTTGTTTGTTTTTAGGGTTTAGGGGTGCTTTTTGTTTGTTGGTTTGTTGTTTTTTTTAACTCAAAGCAGTTTGCTTGTCAAGCTCATCAGTAGCTCTGAGTATTTACTAGGACTTTCAAGGGGAAAAAGAGTAATGGGGGGCTTGTGATTTTATTTTTTTTCTTCTTTTTAAACTGATACTTATATCTTCTTAGTAAAAAGTAAATAAAGGTGTGAAACTGGAAGAAAACTGTTTTCCTACATAGAATCATATCTTCATAGAATAGTTAGGGTTGGAAAGAACCTTAAGATCATCTAGTTCCAACCCCCCTGCCATGGGCAGGAACACCTCACACTAACCATGTCACCCAAGGCTCTGTCCAACCTGTCCTTGAACACTGCCAGGGATGTAGCATTGACAACCTCCCTGGGCAGCCCATTCTAGTGCCTCACCACCCTTACAGGAAAGAGCTTCCTCCTTATATCCAATCTAAACTTCCCCTGTTTAGGTTTGAACCCGTTACCCCTTGTCCTGTCACTACAGTCCCTAATGAAGAGTTCCTACCAGGCATCCCTATAGGCCCCCTTCTCAATCATGATTTTCAAATGATCCCAAGCTTTTGTTATTGTAGAGCAATCAGAAGCTTAGTTTACTATAACTTTAAAAAGAAAAGAGGTTTAAATTCATTAAATGCTTCCTGATTATTATGGTGATGCTAACTGCATTTAAGAGACACCTGTGTTATATTCAGTCAGAAAAGATAGCTCCAGAAGGCTATCTATATAATCAAATAATTTCATCAAGGAATATGAAGTATGATACATCTGCATCTCTGTGCCTGAAAAAGAAAAAGGGCAATAAAAAATTTTAAGGATTTTGTGAAAACACATCTTCCAGGTATCTTTTTTTGCAATGACTGCTGCAGAAAGTCTACAAATATAAATAGTGGAAAATGGGCAGAACCAACCAGATGTTCTCTGTTCAGCTGGCTATCAGTTTCTTGTTTACAGTCTATCAGTGTGACACCTCTGAAAGAGGGTGACATTATAAAACTTAACAGCTTTGTCTTTAGGAAATTAAGTACAGAGGATGATAGGCTAGGATACAAGACATTCACTGTTTTGAGACATGTGTACAGTTTAGTATATGAAATACTGTTAATATTCTTATTTAAAATGAAATCTAACCATATTATTTATACTTGTTCTTAAAATATAATTTATGAAAGTGTGTATAAAGTCATTAATAATCAAACATGTATGTGTCTGTATATATACATACATATATCTATGTAATTCCACTTTCAATAAAAGATTGTGATTGGTGTAATTAGCATTTGCTGTTACTGCAGGTAAAACCAGAGATTTGCTTACTCCTCTGCCTATGATGCCTCAATCTACTGCTTCTCCAAGAGCATATTTCAAGGCTGGTGGAATCTCTTGTTAATTTATTTTTATCTGCTTGCCTTTGGCTGCTAGTTCCTATTATATTTTCAATTACAGTTAAGTGACTCTTTTCTCAAGATAAAGCATAATGTGCAGGATGGTGATTTAGCAATTAAGGAGTACCCTGAGATAAATAGAAGGCTTACTGAAAATTTTTGTGCATGGTTTGTTTTATGGGGTAAAAACTATCTTAATTAGGTATGCAAAAGTTGTGGAAAATACAATGTTAGTGTTTAGATGTAGGGTTTGGGATTTTAGGGGTTTTAAACCTTATTTTCTCCACAAAGGAATAAACGCCTATTTTTATTTTTTTTTAATACTTATTTATTTATTTTGCTCCTGTAAACCTCAGTTGAGTTTTCCGCTATGGAAAAGAGGTGATAATGGTGCATATATGGCTTTTAAAAAGTTATTAATTTATATGATTATTAAAACATAAAAATTACAATGAATAGTTATCAAGGGCCACACTGCTCAGTGTAAGTACAGCACTCTTAAATCTTTCAAAAAATCTCCTTCAAGTTTTGCATTTAATTTCAGCTTTTCCCAGCTGCTACTTGAATTGATTTTCTATACAGATCAGCCTCTTCAAAATGTCCCTTGCTCCTAAATCAAACACCAGGTATTTTGTATCAAGAGCTGCAGAACTGCAATATCTCTTCATTGATCAGAATCTCTCTTAATTCAATAAACAGTTTTTAAAGACCAGTAGACAGCCTATCTCCCACTATTGTTTTTTACAGGCTAATTCAAATGGAAGTGATCACTGTGATCTTTGAGACATCATCATGAAAGTATTAAATATCAAAATTTCAGAATGATAATTCATTATGAACTTCTTATTTCTGTTTTCTAGTTACAAAAATTTTTCAAGGCTTTAAGTAATATTACTTTCCTTTCTAATTCCTGATTGCTATGCTAACCTCATCGCTTATTGTGATTTTTGTTTACAGTTCAAATGTGTTAGTTTCCTTTACATTTCATTATAACTAAAACCATTTTTCCGTATACAAATTATGATTA